CTTTGATATGGAGAAAATCCTATTGAGAGCGCTACCTCCAAAATGAGTCCTGCAGTGTGCGATTCAAATTTAATCGGGACTTCAATATGGCCACCAAAAAACAAGTGGGAAAGAAAGAAAAAGAGTGCTATTATAAATTTCAAATTAACCTTTTAGCTAGTGTTTTTAAGGGGCATCCAAAAGAAAACATTACAAATGAAATACTAGATGGGAATAATTAAATGAAAATGTTGTTAATCCTTTTGAAAGAGGGGATGAACCACATGTGAAAAATAGATTTTAACAATTGAAATTGTTTTCAGTTAACAAATAATTAATAGCATGAACGAGTCTTTTCTCAAACGAAAATGATATTAATGAGCCAAACTATTAACGAATAGTATAGACGAGTCTTTTATCTCAAATTTCGATGTATTTGAGCCTTTGAATGTTTTTAAGGGACATATAAAAAAACACGACAAATAAAATAGATCGAAACAATTAAATCATGAGAATGTTGTTAATCCTTTGGAAAGAGAGTGAGGTGGACAAAAGTTTTAATGAAGTGATAATTAGTGATTACAATTATAAGAATATATTAGTGATTTAATCATTGGAAGACAAATTAACCCTACTCCAACTCTATCAAGATCATATCCTATAATTACTTTCCCAAAAGCCAAGGAATAAAGAAAAGAATCAAAGCAAAGAGTACTCTCCTAAATTACTCCCACCACTATGTGTTTTCTCCATTTTTGCATTGAAAAAAAATTCTACTTTCATTTGATACTTTAATTTTTGTTTGGTGGATTCATACCTACTTTTCCACATTTCACATTATGATGATTATTTTCTGCTTTTTATGCCACCAATGCTTAAAACAAATATGACCACCTTCACTTTTATACTCAAAATCATCAAAGAATGAAGACCAGATCATAAATAGTATACGGCGATTATTAACACATATCCTCCTCGATTTCAGCAACTTTGTTCTACTCTCCGCTCCATCCCGCTCCGTTATTTTTATTTGTTTATTTTAAAATGAGAAAAAAATATTGAAAACACCTAACATAAATTATTAGTTTTATTCTCGAATGATTGACAGCCTTAAAAATATTTTTTTACTTGTCAAACTAAATTTAGATACACTCATGATATGTCACATGACATAACAAGTTGTCTCAAACAGAGGCGTATCTAGGAGGAGTCACCAGGTTCACATGAACCCATACTCCCCTCCTAAAACCATATATAGTAGTGTTATACTTCTAATAAATATTTAAACATAGATGTGTGAACCCACACTTGAAGTATCATATAATATCGTGCGATGATGATTGGGTGATCCTCTCTAAGTGAGTCTAGAAATTTGAATCTTTTATTTATTTTCCTTTCTAAAATTGGGTAACGCCTCTCTAAGTGGTTTGGATAGATAAAAAAAGTTGGACCTATAATTTTAAAAATTTAATGGTTTTCAGTGATAAGAACCTAAACATTATACATATCAAGTTTATATCTTAGATCTACCTTTTCGTAATATGCACACCCATCATCTCAAAATCCTGGATATGCCTCTGGACTCTCAAACTCTTGTAGGAGCATGAGAATCTTAATAAAAAGCCGAGAGAAGTGTTGAAACTTCTACACTTGACGAGAATTTAAGGGTGTATTTCACTCATGTTGTATGATCAAGGGTGTATTAAAGTTCAGTTAGTCAAGTAAATGGGTGTTTTTAAGGCTGTCAATAGTTCGGAGATAAAACTAATAATTCACACAAGTTTAGAAGTGTTTTGAAAACTTCTCTCTTTTAAATTTTATATTTCATTTAAGCAATAATAATTGACATAGGTGTTTTATTATAATATTTATGTTAATTGATATTTAGTCTTAGAACTTGAAAATAATTTGAGAAAAAAGTAATTGCATTAAGCGTAAAATATGAGGGAATTAAAATATATCTTTCTCTTGATATGCTAAAAATGAAAATATGTTTTTAGTATAATTGACAAATAAAAGTGAATGGATGGAGTACTGTAATACTTCCTTCATTTCATATTATTTTTCTTAAAATAATTTTCTCCGTCCATCTTTACTTGTCCATTATACTAAAAATAATTATCCAACTTTATTTATTGAATTTGAAAAAATCAAGAGATAATTTATCATTTGTCTCTATTTCTTTTATATATTTGTGTCTACTTTATCCTTACTTATTATATACTACTATTTATTCTCCAACATCCAGATGATTTATTATTAATAAAAGTGATATAATAAAGTTACTTTTAAATTTATTGTTTTTACGAAATGTATCAAATTAAACATGGACAAATAAAAATAGGCGAAGAGAGTACTTATTTTCAAAGACTACAAATAAGAATAAATTAAAATAGTTAAATTTATTTTAATTATGATAATTTTAAGGACGTGAGAAAGATATGTTAAGAAGTCCCACGTCGATAAAGGGATGAGAAATTGGTCTCCAAATATTATATCTTTATATAGTATCAAAGTCATATTCATCCCAATTTATTATTCACAAATGTTAGTCCATCAGTTATAAATATTTACACTCCAACTTTATGAGCTAATTTTTAATTAGACTTAAATATCATATCTTTACTGCATTGTGAGCCAAAGGGAGTAGCTAGTAGTGGAAAATATAATCTCTTATTTTTAACACAAATCCCAAGTAGATATCATTTTGCTTTTCCCAGTCCAAGTAATTTGACACAACTAAAGTTATACTTAAATTCATACCCTACTATTTTGAGTTTATGTTTCCACACCCGCAGTAAACCTATTTAAATTGAGTTAACCCACAATAACATGTAATTCTAGTATATATTAAGTCCAATATGATTAGGTGAAAATAAATTATGCCATAATCATATTATAACTTTAACTCTAATTTTTTTTCCAAGTTTTGAAAAGTCAAAAGTTTTAAGGAACATGATCTAACGTGTGTTTAACCTTTCAGAAAAGGTGACAATGATGCTACACTTGTATGCTTAGACCACTGTTGAAAAGTTGAAGATTGATGTACATTCGTCATTCAACATGTAGAAAATTTTGAGACATCCAAAATAATTAGGGTAGATGTGGGGAAAAAATGAAGGATGGATGACTACTACTTGTCATGAAAATCAATCATAATCTTATTTTTTTTCTCAGTTTTAGTAATAATGTTGAGAGTAAATATGGCTCATACCATTTATATGTGTAAAGCAAAGTACTGTTTTCTTTTAATCTTGTGGTATAGTTTAGATATCGAAAATTAAATTTTTATATTTTGATTTTGAATTTGGAGATAAAATCTTTAACTAACAATAGCTAATAACTCAAAATAATTAAAATGTATATTAAAATTCACGGTAAAATTCCTTTTGAACTGGCTGAAATTGTATAGAAGCTTTGAGAAAGGGTAAGATCACGATTTAACCATTTAATTTGTGGATCAAGCTTAAGGTAAGTTGAGACTTTTTAAACTCTTATGAAGTGTTTTGTATTAATAAAATTGATTGTTTAATAGGTTAAGCATAAGCATATTACATATGATGATTCATATGGTTATTGTTGTCTTTGTGGCTTGATTATTTGTTGGTCTAATTAATTAAGATCGGATCGTGATGAAGTGATGATATTGATTTTTGGTTTATTTCTAAGAAAAATATTGTAACTATCATGTTTATTTATCGATTTGAATTACCTATATTTGTTATTGGTATGACTATAGAAGAGCGTGGAGGTTATAAGTATGGTTATTCCAATTCTTGTCATCGCTTTATTTAGGATTGATCGGCGATGTTAATGTGTGTATGCATTTTTCATACTCATTCTACACTTGTTGTACTTTTTTTATGTGCAAGTTTTGTGTTTCGAGTTTTGAGTGGTTGGTAAGCTTGCTGCTGGTTAGTGATAAATATCTTAAAGTATTCGGAGTGAGCTGCTTGACTGTTTCATAGCAGGATACTTCTTTTTTGTTTGTTTATTATTCTATTTTTTTTGAATGGATGAAATTATAATTCTATTTTAGAAGCTTTTCTACTTGTGACACGGGGTTATGAGTGACGTTGTACTATATTTTTCACATTTTCTAATGTATGAATTCTACTTTTGACTTTATTATCAATTTTTTTTGTTACTTTCGCGTTTAAAATTAATTGATTCGCCTACAAGGTTTGAGTAGGTGTCATCATAGCTTATAATTTTCAGATCGTAACACATCTCAAACCCATAAAGTTCAAATCTCTAATTTCAAATGAGAAGTTAATAATTTCATGATTAGTATGTTAATCAACCAAGCAATATTGAAAAAGTACAACAAAATATCTAAACAAATTCAGGCATGTAAGTTTCTATACTGACTAAAACTGACATAGCAGTCTCTCCTGCATCATAAGACATAATGCAGTATAATAAAACAATAAAGTGTTTGATAAAAAAAAAAAAAAAAAAACAATAAAGTGAAAGTAGCTGAGTCATGCTGGAATAAGAGAGTAAGTTTCATGGGGCCAAGTGAAAATTCAACATATTAGTGAAGTATTCAAAGGAATGAAAGCCAAAATGTTGCTTTCTCTAATAACAAAGCAAAAACAAAATTTAAATATACACCCTTCCTTCTTGCAGTAAAGGACAACAAGAATATCTTTAGTTGTCTCTCTTTAATAAAGAAAAAGTAGCACTTTTTTTTATTCAAAAACTCCCTCAAACCAAACCAAGAATATATCCAACCTATTCGAATGCAATCATCCCACATGTATGATTCTTAATACTCATTCCGTTTCATTTTATATGAGTTACTTTGACTTAATACAGAGTTTAAGAAAGAAATAAAGATTTTTGAAACTCGTGGCCTAATAAATCACTCCATTAAGGGTAAAATGGGTAGTTTAAAGTTAATTTGTTATTTAATATAGAAATGTGTCATTCTTTTCTGAAAGGACTAAAAAGAAAAGTAAATCATATAAAATGGAACAGAGCGAATAGTTGTTTCTCCTCAAGTCTCTTAATTCTCTTGTTTCACTCAAGAAACAAGCTTTATATATATATTGAAATATTCCCACATGTATTGTCTTAGCTAATGCAATTGTTCTCCATCTCCCATTTGCTTCTCCAACATCTTCCTTTGGTTTCACTCAAAGAACACAACCTTAGTCTTAAAACAACTTCATACCATTGGTCGAACTACTGAACTGAATCACTTGTTGTCGTTTACTCTTAAATTTTCTATCAAGACCCGTCCTACGTCCTACCTACCCTAACATAGTTTGTCACGACCCAAAATTCCAAGAAAATGGATCAATTGCAACCACAACAACCAGTTCAAGTTTATCCAAACAATCCAAACAACTTCCCTAATCAACCAAACAACATCCCAATGACTCAATCCTCTTCTTCTCATAACTCATCAAATGGTTCATTTGTGAGTGTTTTTGTTGTCCTAGCTATTGTTTTTGTCATATCTGTTATTGCTTGTGTTGTGGGACGTTTATGTAGCAAGAAAAGCAATGGACCTAAGGTGAAGAAAAGTCATGGTCAACCACAAAAACAAAAAGAGGGAAAACATAATAAGCACAATGAGTTTCATAATAAAAGAGAAGGAGGGGATATAGAATTTGGATTTGATAAGAAAATTGCAAGTTCTAAAGTGGCTGCAGCACATGGAGATAATCATTATAAGGGGCCTAAGCCTTATAAGAATGCTAGTGGAGGTAAAGGGGGAGTTAGATTTTCTGATAATCATATTGATTTCAAGCTTGGTCCATGAAAATTTGTAGAAAAAAAATATATGTTCATAGATGAACTCTCTCTATGTACTAATTACTTTGGTAGTAGTTTTTTTTTTTTTTGTAACATGGAGGAAGGGGAATAGAAAGGTAAAGGGACCTGTGAGAATCGCGCATGTATTGTGTGAAAAACTCTCATCAGTATCACTAGACTATAAGTTCTGAGGGTAATTATTCCTTGTGTTTTTCTTTTGTTGGTTAATTGTAGCTTTGGGTTTTTTTTTTTTTTTTGTATTTATGCCTAATGCAACATGATTGTTGTGATCGGGATTGTCAAAGTGTAGTATTTTCAGTTTATCATCAATTGGAATATATGGTTGGGGGTTCAAGAAAATCCAGAGTTGTTAGCTTTTTTCCATTTCATTTGTTACTCTGTTCCTAATCTCATTGTCTCCAAATACATATTTTGTAAACTAGACAGTGTAAAGGTATTGGACTGTAACTTTCTCTAAATTTGCATAAACATACCTTCGACCATCTAGTTTTACAAACATGACTGAAGTATACATTATCTATACACTTCGGTTGTATATGCTATGAATAGTATGTATATATTATATGTAAACTCTAAAGTATACACTATCTATCTGTTGTGTACATATTTTTTAACTGGATGATTCAAAAGCATTAGACTGTAATCTTCTCAAATATTTATTCCTATTTTTTTATGTTCAAGCTAAATTATTAGTTACTTGAGAACTTAAAACTAGATTTGTCATCGAAAAATAATAAAACAATAATCAGTTTCAAATATCTAAGTCATTTGATTTATCAAAATTTATTAACCGAATGAATTTAGATTCACCATATGTTTGATTCATTTAAGAAAAAAAAACATTTTTTTTTATTTTTAAAGCTTAAACCCCCAACCTTTAATAAGAAAAAAAAAGAAATCACCTATTTCGATATTGCTTTGAATTTTGATGGCCATACATCTTCTATCGGATGCACATATTTTTCAAATCTTAGGCACCAAAAAGTCTCATTAGAATTATTTGAATCTTTATGTCAAAATACAAAGTTACATCTTGAACAATAAATAGTAGCCTTTAAATAATTTTCATAACACGTCACTCTCTTCATAGAGAAGTTGAGAAATGAAATGAACAAAAAGAGTATATTGTACAAGTACAAAATATTTCTAAAGAATGCAAAGAATTCACAAGACATATTACTCAAACAAATATTTGAATTTGATTTTAGCTGACAAGTAAATATTTTAATATTAAAAATCCATATCTAAATACCTCAACTTATAATGTACCACTCCCAAATTTTAAACCATATAAAACATACGCTCCTAATTAGTGGACACTAATAATGCTAATTTCACATATCCACCCATTATTGAAAGATTTTTTACTTGTTTATTCATATAAAAAATAAATCAGGCCAAAGAATGTATTAATGATAATGTGGCAAACTATAATTTAACTAAGGTTAGTTGGCTCTTATGATCGAGTTTTTTTCCGGATCCTATGCATAGCAAAAGCTTTAATATATCGGATCAAATGTCTTTTTTTTTTTTTAAGTTGGCCTTCGACAAAATTGATTGGAAATCAATCTAATTTCTTTCTTTTGTTGTTTATATACTTGGGAAAATTAGAGAGAATAACCATTCGGTCATCTTACATTTTTACTACTCAAAATTCATCCAATTATCAATTTATTATCTCATATAATTTTATTAACCCTTGATCCCCACCCCTTTTCCCTCTTTCATGTGACTCTTTTAGTGTTCAATTTCTTCTTTCTCTCTTATTATATCACTACCTTTTCCCTCTTCCATGTGATTTTCATACCCTCATATGAGATAATGCTAATATCTCATATTCACCCATTATCAAAAGATTTCTCATATTGACTATAATGTGGCAAACTATAATTAACTAAGGTTAGTTGGCTTTTGTGGTCAAGCCATTTTCCATATCCTGTGTATTACCAGAGCTTTAATGCATCAAACTGCTTTTTTTTAATTGGCCTTTGATAAAATTGATTGGAAATTAATCTAATTTCATTCTTTTGTTGTCTATAACTTGAGAAAATTAGGAGGATGACCATTAGGTCATCTTACATTTTTACTACTCAAAATTAACCCAATTATTAATTTATTACTATCTCATATAATTTTATTAACCCTTGGTTCTCACTTCTCACCCCTTTTCCCTCTTTCATGTAACTCTTTTAGTGTTCCATTTCTTCTTTCTCTTTTATTATAATCAACTTCCTCTTCTTCTTTTTAAGTAAAATTTTATTCTTCTGTAAATTTAATTTGTGATCGATAGAAAAATTTAAAGAACCTTTTTATGCTTTTTTCTTCTTCTTTCATCTTTTCTACTATTTGATGATAAATTATATCTCTAGCCTTATTTCTTTTGATTATGTAATACCTATTTTCCTCTCATGAAATAATTGTTTTTATCGTATTGTAAAAAAGATGAAAAGGAAATATATTAAGGTGTAAATAGTGAAAAATAAGAGAATAGGGTGCAAGGTAAAAAATGAAACATAAATTAGGGTGCAAAATGTAAAGAACCCAAAATACTCTTCCGTAAGAAAAAAAAGGGGAAAAATTGAAAGCACCTGAAAACGGAGGAGTGCCACCGGAAATCAAAACTTCCGGCGATTTCAGCAACGCTTCCAGTACAAGCAGTTTGAGAAATCAGTTACCGGAGAACGAACGGAGAGATTCATCGGAACCCTAGACCGAATCAGTGAGTTTCCGGATCCACTCCTCATTAATGATGAATTGATGATTCACTACTTGTCTCAAAACGGTGACAGTATCTCTAGGAAGTCGTATCTCTAGACTACAGTTGATAGCTTATATTTCTGTTTTTCATATGATTTGAGCCTAAAAAGCTTCATTTTTCTTTGTGAACTATTTCCTCATTGCACTTAGTGGAAAAATCAAATAATTCTAGCTCCATTTTGACTTATCTAAGATATGATGTCGAATCCGTCGATGGTTTAGTATGTGTGGATAAAAAAGTGGAAGATGTTACATTGTATTTAAGTAGTGATAATAGTCATGAATTGCCTCAATGTCTATGTATTGAGGATCCAGCTGTCAATAAAACCCAGTATTTCATGAACGTACCAAGCACATTGACATTGATTGTCACTTTATTCGGGAGAAGCTCCAGCAAGGACTACTCAACACTTTCTATCTTGCCTCCTCTGAACAACTGGCTGATCTATTGACTAAGGGGCTTAGTAGTTTGCAGCATTCTCATCTTTTGTCCAAGCTAGGCATGATCAACATCTTCTCTGTGCCTAGCTTGAAGGGGGATATTGAGGATCCAGCTGTCAATAAGGATAAGCAGTTAGCTGAAGTTAGTTAGTTAATTCACTAATATTCCAGTTGTATTAGTATGTTAGTTAACTAACTACAGATTAGTTCTACACCCTACCATAGTTAACTAACTATAGATTAGTTCTACATCCTACTATAGTTAGGATATATTTAGATGCCTTGTATCAGATATTAATTCAATCAAAGCTTTACTCAATGAAATAGTTACTTTCTTCTCTGCTTAGACCGTAAGTCTCCATTAGCATTTCTTTTTCTTCTCAAGGAAAGTTCCTTGCACGGAACTTTACACTATGCAGTTGCTCTTCATCAATAATTTTGAATTTGTGTGGTGAAAAAATTGATATTGAGTGGAAATCTCTGACTTTTTTCTCCATAGCGTTAGATGATGAAACTGTTATGAACAAACTGTCAGGTGTCTTGCTTAGGACACTTTGGAACTGTTTTGGTTTAATGGTTTCCATAGGCTGTATTGAGAATATGATTAGGAGATATCGAGAGAGGAAAGAAGGAGGATATTGATTATGTTCTATGTATCAGTAGGAAAGCAGAGAATGAATCTCATTAACTGGAATGAAAATGAATATAACAGTACAAACTATATACTAGCTACACTAATCAACCTACTTGCTAACACGTGTAACCAACTAATGCTCTTTAACTACTCAATAACAAACTAACCGAATAATAGTTACAGGCTGAACTTTTAAAGTGACTCCACTGTTCTCAATCTTCCCCCTCAAACTAAATGTACTGAACACATTCAGAACTCTTAGTTTGGACAACAATGATTTATGTTGAACTCTTCCCAATGCCTTGGTCAGTATATAAGCCACAAGACATCCCTTTCTCAATTTTTCTAGCTTCTTCACCACTTTGGAGGGGATTGGAAATAATTACATAAATCGGTTGCCAATGAATCTAACACTGCATTTATCAAGATAAGTCTGCTCCCTAGTGACAGTTATTGGAATTTCCACATAGCTAACATTTTCCCTGGCTTTTCAATTATCCCATCCCATATTTCAGGTCCTTGTGTTTGTTGTCTAAAGTCATGCCCAAATAAACTGTAGGTATTTGATCTATTCTGCACCCTAAGATATTGGCCAGCCCGTGCATCTGTGCAACTTCCTTGATAGGAAATAAACTGCTTTTGCTCTAGTTCACACACAAACCAGTGACATATCACCCTGATGTAGCTACTTTGTTCTGCTTTAGTTTCACAGAAGATCACTGTATCATCTGCATAAAGCAATTGACAGATTTCCAAATTCTCACCTGCTCTGTTGTTGAGTTTGAAGCCTTTCAACCACCTATAATGAATAGCAATCCTCATCATACTATTAAATCGAGTCTAGATTCTAAAGGTCGACTTTTTAAATCAAAATTTCTAAAGGGGCAATATTAAATGTAAAGAAGCTAAAGGGCAAAAGTGTGAGGGACACCACACCTTGTAAGGCGGGGTGAACCCCGCGCCTTATAAGACGTTCTGTACTACACGCCTTGTAAAGTATATGGCAAGGGAAAAATTCCCCTCATCCTTGCATTAATAGGCTACAGGTTAGATGTGTAGATTTATAGGTAAGTTCAATTAGAATCTTGATAGGTGGAATTCCTTCTAACTAAAAGGCATTCTTACATTATGATTACAAATCAAACAATTTATTTATGTACTCCCTCCATTCATTTTTAGTTGTCACATGCAGCCTATTAATGCAAGGGTGAGGGGAATTTATTCCCTTGCCATCTACCTTACAAGGTGTATGGTACATAATGCCTTATAAGGTGTGGGGCCCAGCCCGCCTTACAAGGTGTGGTGCCCAGCCCGCCTTACAAGGTGTGGTGATCCTCACGCCTTACAATAAAAGTTAATGTCTTCCATTAATATTTATTGTAAGGTATGGTGTCCCTCATGCGTTTACTCCTTTGGTTTCTTTTCATTTTCTGTTGCTCCTCTGGAAATTTTGAAAAAAAAAGTTGCCCTTTAGGCTCCGGACTCCTATTAAATCCTTACATGGCTATCATGAGCGGAAAAGGTGAGAGAGGATCCCCATGCCTGAGACCCCTTTCAGAAAGAAAAAAAAAACTCACATGTTCTCCATTCACCAAAATAGAGAACTTGATAGTTTTGATACAAAAACTAATTCATTTCAGCTACCTGTCTCCAATTTACATGATTTCAATTAGCACAAATGATTAGTTGCTCATCATATCTTAGTCCGAGTCTCTTTACAGTCTGGGGAGATGGAATTCTTGTCTGTCATACAATATAATAGAAAAAGTGAGAGAACTTCAAAACATTGTGTATTGACATATATGCTCACAACCTAGAGAAGAGTGAAGCATTATCATCTTTCAGGAAGTCTGATCAATGTATATTTTCATTCATGTGCCTTAGTTTACTTTCATGATTTTATTCCTTTTTCACGAAATAGCCGTCCAACTGTTTCTCTGATAGGTTAAATCTCTGTTGCATTAGGAGCCAAGTCATGCACCACTATACCAATTATGAAATGGTAGAGAATATTCACTTACAGATTTAGCAAGGCAAAGCTAATGTATTATGAGTTATGACCTTCAACATAATCGTCTGTTCAATTATCTGGTTTGTATAGATATGAAGGATATTATCTATGATGGTAAGATATGGAGGAAGTTTTGTATGGTACTATGGTTGAAGTTTTATTTGGTTCAAGACATTGAATCTCTTCTCCCCAAGTGTTTATGGACATTCTATCTCGTCTCCTAAGTGATTATGGATAGTCTATCTCTTCTCCCGAGTGTTTGTGGACATTCTTTGTTTTCTTTTACTTCGTATTTTGGTCAAAGTACTGGTCATGTTTGAACAGATACATTTTTTTTTTTTGTGAAATCATGCAATTCTATTGATGTCGTACTAACAAAGTAGTGAAGTACCTAATATATTTGAACAGAATGAAGAAAAATATTCACTTGTTTTTTTCCTTCCTATATTTCCTTATTGTATCTAATTCTTGTGTACTATGTATAGAGTTGCAGTGGCACGATGGCTAAATCCGGAGCAGATGAGAAGATTCTCAGCTACAACGATGTCGTTCTCCGGCGATCAGATTTGGACATTCTCAACGGTCCTAATTATCTCAATGACCGCATCATTGAGTTCTATTTTAGCTATCTCAGCTCACTCTTTCCATCTGACGACATATTACTGGTTCCACCTTCTATTGCTTTCTGGATTAAAGAATGTCCTGATCCTGAAAGCCTGAAAGATTTCATGGAACCACTTCATCTCTCTCGAAGGAAGTTGATTCTCTTACCTATAAACGATAATTCTGACGTGTGCATGGCTGAAGGTGGGAGTCATTGGAGCTTACTGGCTTTTGATAGAAACTCCAATGTATTTGTACATCATGACAGCAGTTCCGGGTGCATGAATGAGTATCATGCCAAACAAGTATACAAGGTTACTCTTCCGTATACATCATCCAACGCCACTTATAAAGAGTGTCCAAACACACCAAAGCAAGTCAATGGTTATGATTGTGGCGTGTATGTTTTAGCTATTGCACGAGTCATCTGTCAGTGGTATGCAAGCAGTGGAACCCAAGATGCAGATACTCTGTGGTTCTCTCATTTGGAACAGGTCACTCCAAGTGCTGTTTCTGTGATGCGTAATGATATTCTGGGGTTAATAAAAGGTCTGATGGCTGCACCTAAGACTGTGGCGTAACGCTCAATGATGTGAGTGAAAACCATGCAACAAGTTCGAAATCCAGCAGAGATAAAAAACACTAGGTGAGGTTTAAATTCGAGCAGTGACCAACATGAAGTTTGGTAGTCAGTTATCTCACGATTTTGTTGGATTTCAGGAAAGATTTGCTATTTCAAAAGAAAGCTAATGGGGAAAACTAGGAATATAGTATCTCCATTTTGATAAAATAATATTCATTGTTGAAAAGACAGTGGTGTAATCCATAGTAGATGAGGCATCTTGGTTTTGATCAAGCCTTGGTGCACCTTCTCCCTAATAAAGTATCGATCTATCTATATGTTTTTTGTTCATTCATGAAATACAGGATTTGCAATGATTTAGATGTCTGCGTTGCTGTCACAATAAACTAAAACTGCCCCTTGTATCTTGATGCCAAGTTCTTTGATAAAAATTTTAACCTAAACAACTTGGCAATCATTGAAGCCAAACTCCTATATTATGCTTCAGCTGAACTTCTCGAAACTATGGGACTCATGTTCACAACAATTGTCAGTCAGCTGCAATGTGAAAGTACAAGCTTATATACTAGCTACACTAACTGACCTACTTGTTAACATGTGTAACAAACTCATGCCAACATCTTCAGCATTTAGGTAATCTTGAAGAGCTCAAGTGCAGGTTAGTAATATTTATCCTATGTGGCCACTGCTAAGGTTACTTTTGGTATTAGTTGTGCCAGCGAGTACTGTAATGATTTTGATGAAGAAGAGAGTTTTCATGATTGTTATCAAGCTTATCTGCAAAACTTGACTCATGTAACTGTAACAGTTGGAACTATGATTGCTTTAGAGTCAAAAGACATTGTTTGCTCTATTTTTAAATTTTTAGCAATAGTTGTAGAATGTGTACCTCAGTAAGAGAAGAACCCTCAAATCTGATCAATGAGAAACTTCTCTGTAACTGTAAATATCGATGGAAAAATTTGTTGTTGCTAGAATCTTTAGATGGTTATATTTGTCATAGCAAACTACATATATATCTGATTTCAATTACTTTCATTTTCTTGGTTTTTCTTTCTTTAATTAATCCTTACTAGTTTCACTGTGATGTCACTGCATCGATCAGGTCGAGCTTCATGTTGCCACTCAAAGGAGTGGCTCTTCTAGAATCGCGTAGGGACAATCAACATAGAATTGGAAACTATGAGCGTAACTTCCTATAACTTTTTCTCTTGTTGCACTTATTTATTTCTTGATCTCCTATCGTGCCCCCTAGCTCCGCCCCTGACTGTAAATTGTTCTGAATCAGACACTTCAACCATGAAATTGTCGTCTTTTTTTTTTCTTTCATTTGTGAAATGTCAGTTCAATTAGGCTTTAGACCCTTATATGATCGAAACTATGTTCTTTCTCTACAACTTTGTCTCTCACTCTGCCCCTTTGTTGCAAGGAGATCACATTAGTTTAGAGAGTTGGATTTCAAACTTTGTATTTCCCAATCTCAAGAATGTTAGTGCTGTCTGCTCCATAGGGATGTATTTCAAACCCCTATGATAGAGTTTTCAAACTTTCAGAATTTCTGCTGAAGAATGCAATCGTCTTGGAGAAGTTTGTTATCATATCAAGGAGAACAAAATGCTGGTTGTTCAGAACAAATGTTGTGTTAGGATCAAGTGCTTGCCATCATGCCAAAAGCTATAGTTGATAGCAAAGACGTAACTTTATTTCGTAAATAAGTCGTATCAAGAAAGCGTCATGCTCGATCATGACTCTGACCTGGACTACCCATCCCCTCGTGGGCAGGATGTTGGGATTACCCAACATGTTGTCTTGTAGTGAAACAAGTTATATGTTAATCCTAAAACAGAACACATAGGATGTTTCTCTCAAAATCAAAGTTTAAGGTAAACATTTACAAACATAAAGAGACAAAATACTGTATGATTATCAAGAATTCCTACTTGAATTCAAACATTCATATACAAGCTGATTCAATAAAAAACTCTACTTAAAAGAAAAGGAAACAAAAGCAAATACTACAAATCATTCCCAAGAATTAAACAACTTGTAAAATCACACTCTAAAGCTTGATCATTTTCATTAGGATACTGTCATCCAACTCATGAATATCATCAAAAACAAATACGCGCATACAAACGCGTACGATGGTTTTTTATGATCTATTTCTTTATGTTGCTTTCTATCCTGTTCTTGTTCTTGTTGTATAAGTTTCATCATCTCTTTGTAAAATTTCCAAGTAATCAAGATATGTATAACTTGAAAAAATATAGATGGAGGAAAAAATATTATCCTATCTAGCCAAAAATGATGCCATGTCCTATGTGTGACATGTAAAGTAGGAATTGCCCATGCTACAACAATTATACCAACCATTGTGGCTTTTCTTGCTTGTACATCTTTTATTTCTTCCATTTCCTCTACTTGCATATTATCTCCAATTTTTTCCATTTTTTTTGTAGGTTGATAATATAATGCCCTCTTTTCCCTCTTGTGCCTTTTTTTTTCAATTTCTTTTTGGAGGGGGGAGGGAGTGAGGGCAAGAAGCAAGGAGGATGGGAGTTTTTTTTTTTTTAATGTTAATGGAAATGAAAACTAATTTGATAAAGAGAAAAAAAGATTTTTTGATTGTTTTGGATGGTTAAGAGATAAATGCTCTCATTCATTATTAGTTTTAATGTGATGGATAAGATGAAGTTTCTCAATTTCTCTATTTTTAGTTTGTTAGGTATCTTATTACTTGTTCCTCTTTCTATATTTTTATGTTTTTTCGTTTTTTTTTTTTGAGAATTCTAATTAATTAATGGTAATTTTAACAATTAATTTCTTTGGCATTAAAAAATAAAATTTGAGGTACGTAATTCGGCTTACGTGGGTTTTTCTAGAAGGGTGTGCAAAAATTGGTTTAATTGATAAATTGAACTGAAAAAAATATTATTGATTTATTGTTATTGAATTATCGGGTTAATAATTTTTGAAAAGATCTGTAAATTTTATTAATGGGTCGTTCATTTTTCGATTTTATGATTTGGTTAATAATTAAACCGATATCCCAGTAAAATTATATTAAAATTACTATTTTACTCCTAATTATATTATAGCGATTTTAACATTTTACCAACTCTATTTCCTAAATTATAGTATTACTTCGGTCGTAGGTAACACAAATTAGCCTTTTTGTCTCTCTAGTGCGACACCTTATTTTTTTTCTTGACACAAACTAGTATTACTTTCTCTCTTCTCAATTTCAAATTTAATTGTGAAAAAGACAAACGATTAATGTTGTTTCTACAATTTATTGCATACGTCTTTAGAAGGAATTCAAATAATTATGTTCTAAACAAAAGTGATCAATGTAGAATTGTGCACGTACTGCACTTCTATTCCTGCAACTATTTCTATTTGATGAACATCATTTTCTTATCGGTCAAATCAAAAACCGATTCGTGAAAAATAAAATTTTGATTAACCAAAAATTGATATTAAATATCTTATTGATTTAGTGTGTACACAAATAAAAAAATCAATAAACCGAATCGATCTATGTGCACCCTTATTTTTCAAATTGTTTTAAGCATAATCATGATTTTTACATTGTACGAAAGTTTTTGAAATGTAATTTGTAAATAATGAATTAAGGTCGAGAACTCGAGATAATACTCAAAGAGTGTAAAAATTCTGAATTAATAACCCTTGAACATATTTCCTTTAATTAGAGCGTCTTGAAAAACAATACATAGTCTAGTGTAGGGGTGTTTATGGGTCGGTTTGGATCGGTTATTGATCAAAACCAAAATCAAACCAACTTAATCGGTTTTAAAATTATCAAAACCAAACCAAACCAAATATAATATACAGTTATCGGTTTGGTGGTTATCGATTTTGGTTCGGTTATTCGGTTATTAACCATACACAAAAATAAAAGAAATAATTCATTCAAAATGTGAAAAAAGTGAACAATCCATTCAAAACAAAAAATAGTTAGAATGACTTAAATTACTGAACTTTCGATCACTAAATTTACCATCAATAAAGCTTTAAAATCCACTATATTGTCCTAGAAGGAAGAGACAATAACATTTTCAGTTCCACAAAGAATTGTCATAGACACTCATATACATGAAATCAAAAGATAAATGTTTCATTTTAGACATTTTTGCTTTCAATAAGTAAATTATAAAGAAATTTTAATGAAAATATGTATAAAGTCTTCAAAATTGTTTATAACATTAATATATTAAGTATGTATATTAATAAAATATGTGTATATAATTCATCGATTCGGTTCGGTTATTTCTTCGGTTTTTTCGAATAAAATCATAACCAAACCAAATACTATTGATTTTCAAAAATCTAAAACCAAATCAAACCAAACCCAAATAAAATCGATTTTATTTTATCGGTTTGATTCGGTTTTTCGATTTGGATCGATTTTTATCCAAACCATGAACACCCCTAGTCTAGTGTATAAAATATTCAACATTTATTCAAAATCCGAGGGAACATGCACCCCAAAAGATTGAAATATAGACGGTCTACATTAATACAAAACATTTTAACATCTTAAATGAATAATTTACAATTTCACCTTTTGATATTTTTTTTCCAGTGTGGATATTATCCTCAGCATCAAATTGACAACTTTTCACAATTTGATTTGAACACATGCAAATGGTACTATACATACGTCCTAAACAAGCACAGTTGTATAACTTACTGACCTTACAAATTCCCAATGATTCTTTCCAATAAAGTTAAAAATTTGTAACAAAACATAAAAACTAGAAACTAGAAAGAGAGAGAAAGTAAAACTTGTAGTCTTGTACTATCTTCAAAAGAGAAGAATACTAATAGGAAAAAAAATGGCATCTTTTATGTACAAATTATGAAGTACAAAAACAAACACACCTACTTTTTTTTTATTCTTATTCCCCCCATGTTTTTTCTAGCACAAATCATACTTGTGTTAGCCTTCTCATTGCTTTATTGGTCCCTAAATGTCCATTATTAAGAGACATACGTTATTTGATTATATGTATAACTTGAAAAGACATAAATGAGGCACCAAACTTTTAATGGATGATATAGATGAGTCTTTTCTCAAAATTCGACAACATATTTGACCTCGTTTCCTAAATAATTTGATCATAGCGTTGAGAAAATTTTAACATATAAAATGATATGTTTCACTTATATTATCACTAAGCTTTCTTCTTTTTTATAACAATAAAACATAATACCTTCTTTTGTCACATTAACTAAACTATGTGAGAGCTGCCTAGTAGTAAATGATCGAAATACCAAATTTGGGGCGCCAGATTAAAAACGAGGAATTTTTTTTTTGATATTCACAAAATGAACTTAAGAAAAATTCATATTTTTATATATAAAATAGAAATTTCTTATTAAAACATAAAATTATAATTTCTTTTTTATAAATAATCTACTAAATCAATTCTCTCGAATAAAATACATGTTAGAAAAAGAAATAAGATTATTAAATGTTTTTATTAATTTATCTTTTATTTAATTATGAGTAGTCAAATTTTTACACGTTGCAATCTTTTTCCTTAATATGAAATTTGCTGCGTGACATGTGTGGTGAGCGACTTGTCATAACTCATAACTAAGGTAGAAAATTTGACATAATTTATATTTTAAGAGCAATTCACACATAGTTCAATTATTTTAAAATGACAAAAAGTAATTTCATGACTTTGTTACAATAATGCCTGAAATTAACATGGATGTTGATGTGATGTAGCGAATGAGACTACTTCTAAGTTAATCATAAGTTTCAATTTTGAGGGTTGAATATTAGAAAATCACTAATAGGGAGTGTTTCGCCTAAATTAACTCTATCCGACACGAGTCTAAATTAATCGAAGTTCAATATGAATACCAAACACACGAACCAAAAAAACAAACCATTTTTCTGATCAAAATATTCTAAAAATCAGAATGCAACTGTGGGACTCTTAAGAGTCTTCAGTCAACATTTACCCCAAGGTACTATTCTGTCTGTATGTTACAGAGAGGGGCCATCAGAAGCCTCTGACAAAGATTGTTGTGCTGATTATTGGATATCCCATCTCACAAAAAAAATAATAATATTGGTTATAACTGTCGTTTGTCTAAATAAAGACACATCCATATTTCTGACTTGTCTTGTTTGTAGTATTCAAATTTCAAGAAAATAACTCAACTTACTATTAGCTATGGAAAAAGCATTAGAATGGTTAAGACCACTTGTTGATTCCAAGAATTGGGAATATTGTGTTGTTTGGAAGTTTGGTGATGACCCTTCAAGGTAAAATGTTTTTCTTTTTTAAGTCTTCCTACAATTCTTGCAATTACTTTGATTTGTCATACTCAAGGTTAGGTCTTTCGAAAACAACCTCAATACTTCCACGAGACTCCACTAGTGCAATTTATGTTATTGTTAGGATTCTCGATATCTAAAATGCAGAGAGTACTTTCTGGCTCTGTCCATTCTTGAAAATTGATTTTTTTTTGTCCATATGGTGTTTGAGTGTATGTGTGTGTGACTTATTTTGTGTTTGTGGTGTTTAGGTTTATAGAATGGATGGGATGTTGCTGTTCTGGAGCTAATGGAGTTGATGTCAATGTTAAGAGAGAAAATGGAGGAAAACAGAAATTTAGTTCTCTGTGTAGAGATATTCAAGTGCAGCATCCTATTAGAACAAAGGCTTGTGAGGTTTTAGCTCATTTTCCTCATTCTATTTCCCTTTATTCAGGGTATGTTTCCATTTCCCTTTATTTATAAATGTTGTGTTTTTGCTTCCTTTGAGCCGAGGCTCTATGGGAAATAGTAGGTAGGAGTAAGGTCTGCGTACACACCACTTGTGGGACTACATTGTGTATGTTGTTGTTGTACTTGAATTCGATTTGTTTAAACATATGTACTATAAAAGGCATGACTATACAAACTAACTTGAACATATGCGAAAACAGGATTCAGGCAGAGGTTGTAACATCAAATGAACCAAAGTGGATTAATCATGCTGAGATTTCCAATTCAAATTTGTCACATGTTAGTATAACTCTGAAAGTTGAAGTCTTTACTGAACTCTCAAGATTAATTTGAGAGCTGTGTTTTAAACTGAATTCAGCGACTCGTTGCAGGATTTAAAGGGTACCCTGGTATTGATTCCGGTTGCTGGTGGACTGGTTGAGCTTTACAATTCAAAGATGGTAACAATCATTCTCTATTCTCTGATAATGTTAGATAAGTTGTTTGTTAAGTAGTAAATTGGCCATCAATATGCACTGAACTGAAAGACTTAACTACTTACTTTACATTAATTTGCATTGAACAGATATATAAAGATCAGAAGACAATTAATTTCATTATCAATCGCTTCAAACTTGGTTCAGAAGAAGCCAATAGTTCCGTAGCACAGAAAGAAGATCAAATTCTTGATTTCTTTCCCTATGAGAAATCGAACTTTTGTGCTCCTCTCCTGCAATATGCCACAAGTTTTCCTTCAAGTGCACCTCATATTTCTCAAGTATCTGAATCTAGTGCTAATCCCAGCATTCAAGGATCATCGACAGGTTCCATTCCTTCAAATGAACTTACATTGTGTCATTCACCTCCTGACCATTTATCGCGCAATGTACCTTTAAGTCAATCTACTGAAGGGTATTTTGAGCACACGGAACTTCAGTGCAGTGGAAACTTGTCAAGAATGGAAGACACTACTTTTCCTTGGAAACAAGAAAACTATATAGTAGCAGGAGATATGTTCGGTATGGGTAAGAAAAGGCAAAAGGGACCTTATCAGTCAAAGAATCTTGTCACAGAGAGAAAACGAAGGAACAGAATCAAAGATGGTCTTTTTACTCTTCGAGCTTTAGTTCCCAACATCACTAAGGTTGCTAATAAAGCTACTCATCTTATATTTTACGTCTATATGTCATTCAAAGTTTTGACACTATCCTTGCTTGATTTCTTTCAGATGGACAAAGTTGCAATACTTGGAGACGCAATTGACTATATAAATGAACTGCAAGAAAAAGTAAAGTTGTATGAAACTGAGCTCAACAAAATAGAAGCGGAAGTTACCAACAATGAAACTCCTGAAATGGTCCTATCAGACATGACTGAAATGTCCAAAGTTACCGGACAAACAAATGAGAAAACACAATTTTCAGTTAATACAACTGATAGGACGAGAATGGAGGTGCTGGACGTTGCTCGATTTCTTTCTGTTTCTTTCTATTGCTTTACAGGTGCCTTAGAGTCTCCTTGATATTTTGCATTGCAGGTGGAAGTGAATCAAATTGGTGCAAGAGAGTTCTTGTTGAAGGTTTCTGGATCACATAAACCTGGTGGATTTACGCGGTTGATGGAGGCCATGAATTACTTAGGACTTGAGCTAGTAAATGTGAGTTGTACCACGTCTGGAGGGGAGATCGTGAGCGTTTACATAGTAGAGGTAAATTTCAATCTCTTCTTATGCTAGTCTCCGTTAATCCTTCATAAATGTTATTGTACTTATTTCGGATCCTCCAAAAAAAATAAAGCGTAACATTAACATTTGAAGGATCCGACATGGATGTTTTCCATGCATTTTGACATCTACTTGCTTCTTGCAGGCAAATGTGGACAGAGTTCTTGATGCACAGAAACTGAGATCTTCACTAATTGAGCTGACAAGTTGAACATATATATCTTTTGTTGAATCATATATTAACTGTTTAGTTTGTCAATCATTTGACTTAGTTATTAGCTACTTAGCTTGCAGAAACCAATCAATCAATTGACTATGTAAAAAGATAGAGGATGGTCTCAACTTGTTGTGAACTTATTATATGAATTAAAAAATCTAGAATTTAAGAATCTTCGGGTGTTCGAAGAATCTCACGTTTATATTAATCGAATGAATACATAATACATGTGAATCACATTGTTAACTAATCAATATTTTCATCCAAGTTTTACACTTAATCATAATAATTAATACACTTTCTGTCCTAATTTTTGTGATATTGTTAAATCAGGCACAAAATTTAGGAAATAACGAAAGAGTTTATTATGTTTATCAAATTGCCCTTATTAAAGTTACTTAATACTTTATTTTTAATTAACTTTTCTTAATAATAAAGTGTTAAGCAGGACTCATAAAGTCAAATTTCTAGTCAAATAAAACCGAGGTGCAAATTTAAAACATCCAAAAGAAGACAAAGTTCTTGTTTGACAATTAAATTTCTTTTGACATTTAGGATTGCTGGATAAAGTAAATTAAGCTTACTTTCGAAGTAATAAGCGCGATTATTGAAAAGGTTCTTTTGGATTAATTGCTTCACATGCATGTGATATTTACGCTAAATTAAAAGATGCATGACATATATTTATAAATTGAATGAAAAACAGATGCATACACAACATCGCAAGAAATGATATAATAACCATAGAGCTCGAATGGAGATTTTTTTATTGATTAATATATGGCCTTTATAACCTATAAATAATAATTTTTACCTTATTGTAAAGGTGTTGATCCCAAGGAATATAATAGCAACTCTCGGATCCAGTACAATCATTCATCATCGGAGCTAATTAAATGCTTAACACGACTTTCTATAATAACATTATTATTTTTATCTCGTTTTTACTTGCGTTATCTAATACAATTAGTGGCTAATAATCCAAATTTAACGAGTAAAACTGAGATTCGTATTCTTGATCTCATATAAATTCAATTGTAGTGTTTTCTGATAAATAACTTCATCACTAAATTGAAAAGTATTTATTGTTGTCGATCTGTATTACTAAGATACTTAGAACAATAATTTTGCAAAACTTTATAAGAAATAACAAACTTCAAAGTATATTTTCAAAATCAAACAGTAGAATTTATATATGCAGAACAAGAATAGTTCAGAAAATCCGTTGTTTAAAACTGAGAAGAGACTCCTCTATTTATAGTCAACAAAAAATAGTATGAACAAGTGTTTATTGTGTCTTATCGAAAAAGTCATAACACTTTGAAAAAATCACAACTTTTTGGAAAATTCACAATCTTTTGGAAAAGTCACAATCTTTCCAAAAAATCGCACCCCTTCAAAAAAAAAGTGTGAACTCTTCAGAAAAATCACAACTCCTAAGAAAAAATCACAAATCTCAGTTTTCTATTCATACTTTTTAAAACCAAACATTTATAAATATAGTTATCTATATTAGTACGTACTAGTTACTTGCTAACACGTAACTATTGAATTAATTAACAAGTTTCGTATCATGTGAACACACAAAACGAACAACATCGAGAAATTATAATTTGAAAAGTCAATTGGACAATTGAATAATATACTCCTAGCAAAATTAAAACAATAATTTAAGTCGATTTTTCTCTTCCTTAACACAGACACATTCCTCTCTTTCCACATATATAAATATTAAAATTAAATAAAATCCTTCACTTCTTTTTACTATAAATTATTTCTTTACAACAAAAGTTGACAAAAACTTCCAAATCTGAGGTCAGATTTCTCCTTTTCCCCTCTTCTTTATCTCCCTTTTCTCACCTTTTTTTTTGGCTTTCTTTTAAGTCTTGTAATAAATGGAATTATAACACTTTCTTAGAGCCTAAGTTTCTCCAACTATTTATCTAAATTCATTTTTCTATTTTCTTACTTACTTTTTAGATGGATCAATTTGGAGATCATAATGATCAAGTTTCCATGACAATAGAAAATAAAAAAATGTTACTCTCTTTCGATTCAGAAGTTGAGTCTCCTAGTCCAACATTACATAATTCCTTCAGGTCAGAGACGAATTCAAAATTTATTTTCATTAATTCAACTTCTACATTATCATATGATACTCAAAATTTTAGTAATTGTTCGCGTATAAATAATTGTTTTGATTCGATTGTATTATCAGGTCGTTCAAGAGAAATGGGATGATCGAACTAGAGGAACGTAACAAAGAACATGAGTTAATTAAGGCGGGCTTTCTTAGTGGAATGGGGCATTTAGGAAAGGAAGTTGAAATTGTGGGTATACATAAGAATTCATGTTCAACTATATTGGGGCAAGCGAGGTTAGAAAGTTTTCATATTTATTCCGAAGCAATGCGGAAGAAATGTGGTGGAAATGCTAATATTAAATATGCTTGGTTTGGTTCTTCCAAAGATGAAATTTGTAATATTATTTCACATGGATTTTCTACAATTACTGAACCAAAATCTGGAGGATGTTTTGGTATTGGTGTTCATCTTTATCCTGCAAATATCCACGGGTAAGCAATGAAACATTTAGTATTCTGTTTCAATTTATGTGTCACAATTTTGTTTTTAGTTTGCGAACAAAAAATGAATGTCATATGATTGCTTTTGATGAAATGATTTTTATTCACACATTATTTTAGAGGATAAAATTTAAAAATAACTTTTCTTTTTAAATTTTATGTCAAGTCAAACAATATCTGAGATTAATTAATTATTTTTATTTTATTTTTGTTGTGTTGAAGGGTATTATCGGCATTGGAAGATGAGAATGGATTAAGGCATATGTTACTTTGCAGAGTAATATTAGGAAATACAGAAGTAATTGAAGCTTCATCCAAACAATTTCGGCCAACTTGTCAAGATTTTGACTCTGGGGTTGACAATTATTTGGCTCCTAAAACATACATAATTTGGCCTTCTAATATGAATTCTCATATTTTACCAAATTTTGTAGTAAGTTTTAGATGTCCTAGTTGCTTATTAGGTAAGCAATTCAAGATTTATAATTTTGTTTTATGTCATATAAAGTATAGGGTCTATCGTTTGGTAGCGGATTTGAATGTGAATTATGCGGATATCAAATACTGCATAATTGTCTAACTAGCTATCGAACGATAGACCCCTCTTAGTATACGAGATTGAAGGATGATATATTATTATTTTTGTTTATTTTCTTAGGTGCTTCTTCGAAAATCAAGAAGATTTTTCCGAAGTCGAATTCTCGTATAAAGTTTCATGATTTATTGCATGTGCTTTCCAAATATTTACATCCATCAAGAATGGTTTTGATCTCAAAATACTATGAAGATTTTCAGGTGACTTTTTTTTTTTAATTATCCAATTTTGTGTGAGTAAAATTTTTAATTTATTATTATTCTATGTAATTAATTATGTGATGTCTTTTAATGTATAGAAAAATAAGATCACAAAATTAGTACTACTTCGAAAATTGAGGCAAATAGCTGGAGATACGTCGTTAAGAGCTGTCATGAAATTGTATTCAAATACTACTATTTAAGGTACAACTTCCTACATATATTTTATTTAAATAACTTGGTGCATTAATTAATGGCCTTTAAACAACCATGTAAATATTTTTTCTTATTTTTTGTAAGATATCATCGATTTTTTTTTCTTTTTGCTTTTCTAATTTCATCGCTTATATAATGTTTAGTTGCAAATTGGAGGAAAGAGCTTGTTGATTTCGTGAGAACGACGTGATCAAGTTGCTAACGATATCATGATGGCGGAGTTTGTCAAGTGTGAAAATAATTTTTTCCCTTGATTTTTCTATTACAACAAGTTTTTTTTTAATTTCTAAATTAGTATAGTATTTAATCGATGTACAGATCATATTAAAAAGAAACTTGCGTAATGTGCTGAATAATATTAATTATATATTGAATTTGTGATCTGTGACTAATTATTTGAATACATTGGATCATATTGCTTTAGAAATATTTGACATCTGGTTTCTTAATTAATTCAATTAACTCAATATTAAAATCTGTTGAAATAAACGAAAACAAATCACATAATCATGGAATAACGTTTTTGTTCCTTGTATTCTTTTATGGGAAAGGCTCAAATATGTTATCGAATTTTTAGAAAAGGCTTATTAATGTCATCCGTTAAAAATTTGGTTCGTCTATGCTATATCCGTTTGAGAAAAGGTTCATTCATGTCATTATATTGTTAACCGAATAGTATAGATGAGCCAAACTTTTAACGGATTACATAAATGAGCATTTTCTAAAAGTTGGATCGCATATTTGAGCTTTTTTTAGTATGATGGCATAGATGATTAATATTTTCTAAAAGTATAGATGATTAATATTATTATACTAATACCTAAATACTAAATACCCACTTTTTGAAAGTTGGATGTCATAGATATAATATGATATGGTATGATTACTATTTACGTAATACTTATTTAATTAAAAAAATTTGTAGCTTTTTTATTTAGTGCAAGGGTAAAAATAATGATAATTCAACTTTGCACTTTGAATATATATAATATGATGATATATATGTATGTATGTATGTATGCATGCATGAAAATTGTAGGAGAAAAATAGAAGTGTGAATTGATGAATGATTTGTTACAATTTGTTCACCAAATATTTTTCCTTGTGTTGACACCCAATTTTGTACCTCCACAATATAAATTAATCATTTCGAGTTTCTTCAATTTCAAACGATTTAAAATAATTAGTTTTATAAAGTTTCAAAATATCTCTCTCTCTCTCTTTCTCTCTCTAAATATATATATATATATATATATATGATAATAATTATAGTTTCCAAGTTATTTTAAATAGTTTGTCACTTTTTGTAATTTTAAATTAACATATATGTTATATATAATTTCGTATATAATTAGTATATTTTATAAACATTTCGAAAATCATCACAAAAAAGATTTTAATTTTAGTGAGTATTTTAATTAATTTTGTCTAAATTAATAGTTTACATTTTGAGTCATTAGTATATTGAGTTAATTATTTTATTTCGTTAGAATTAAGAAACTCATTAATTAATTATACTAATTCGTCCTATTTAAATTTTAGCCGAATTTGCAAATTAAATTCTATTTAGCTAGGTTGTTAATTCAATTAGTTATACCTCACTTTAAAGTTTAAACCCACCAAAGACTTTATGTTTGGGCCCTTCACTCAATAATTTCAGGCGACCCATAGCCTTATTCCCAGCCCACCCAACGTTCCAATTCAAATTTCCAACAACCCCATTCCATTCCCAGCCCACTCTTGATAACTGACCCGACCCATTTATTGTTTCCCTTCACAAAAGAAACCCATTTAAACAAATACCCATCACCAATACAGTACACTAACGGACCCCTGCTACTCTTCTTCTTCACGAAACCAGACGCCAGACGAAATCCCAGCGGAAATTGCGCTGCAAATTCGTAAGTCTCGCCCAACTACCCTGCAGAACCCATACCCTAGCAGCCTCAACGTCAAACCCTCACATCCCCTTTCCCCCCTTTTCACGAAAATCAGCTTTTTCCCATCTCCATTACTGTGGTTTCGAAAATAGCGGAGGGGATTGAAATTGTTGTTTGAATTCTCAATGGATTCCCCCCCCCCCCCCCCCCCAAAAAAAACGATTTTTCTTCTTCTATATATTCCCTCTTTCAATCACTAAAAAGAAAAGAGGAAAAATTTTTGGAGTTCGATTCTTGGGCAATAGTGGTTTTACACTTGCGAATTTTATATTTAGCTCTCTAATTATGAGTTCCAAAAGGGTTCGCCACTCAGATTCTTTTGGCTCGCTGTTCATATTGAGATTTCGTGGTAGAAGAGTCGCTGCTCTCAGCTCGTTTGTCCTAGTCTCGTTGCTCCGTAGAAGGTAATGTCCCTATTCTGGCCTCTCGTTTTCCTTTCGAATGATGTATGTTCTATTTTGTTTTCCACTTAATGGATCATTATTTTGGGACAGTTCATTGTTGGTTTGTAGCATTTTTTCAAATGATATAGTATTGTGAGTTGTTTGTTGATGAGATATTACTAATTAAGATGGTCTTTATTTTTTCTTATCTATTGCTATAGCTCATGTATTGTGATTAGAAGCTACTTTATCAAGCTATTTCTCACTGATTCTTTCATAGTTTCATAAAAAATAAAAAAATAAAATAAAATAGAATTTTGAACTTTGCGGCTTTGCGGCTTTGTGATTTAAGCTTTATCCTATTTTTCCTCGTCGACTTGATCGATCGTTCTTGTCGTCTTAGCATTCAAATGTAGTTAAAATAGTGCGAATCCTTCCAAATGTTTAGTCTCATAGCTCAATTTTTCTTGGTTTAAACTCGTTTCGGTCTTAACAAGTTGCTAGTATGTCTCTGTTGTTGTACACCTGAATCTACCGAGTCGAACATATTATCGTGTTTGCATTGTCCTACCCAAGTGTCCGTCCCTCTGTTTGTTGTGGGCTGTTATTTGTTATTGTCTTTAAAATCACAGCAGTCTCAGAATCAGTAGTTGTGGCAGTAGCATGTTGTTTATTATGTTACTGGATTTGATAATTTCCTTTCCTCTTCATTTGAGTCTTGTTACAATCTTATGGTCCAATGTGTCATGTTAGAATTGAGCTTGTGTTGTCTCTGTTTCATTTAGATTCCCATCAAAAATCACTTGCTACTCGTAGTGGACTTAAGGTCAAGGACGAGATTTTATTGCCTTCCAAACCTTGGCTCGTTCCAACACTCGTTTTCCTTTAACCGAATGCCTAACCGTGAGCTTTAAATTAGATGCCCAGTATCTGGTTTAATTTAGATTATTAGGCTGCAAAAATGTGATAGTTATCTAAATATGTGCTAAGACTACATTGATCTATGTGCTTAACCGTTGGACTTAGAGGCTCTCAACGTGGTTATCACACCAATTTGTTTAAGAACATCAATTTGTAAGTGATAAGCTTGCTACAATTCTGCCTCTGTTTATGGCCTCTTCGTTTTCCTTTTATTTCTTACTTTGGATAGTGTATGAAAATGACAAAGTTGCTTTCCATTTCCTTATTTTAGTTTTAGCTTTTTTTCATTGTAATAAATGTCTCTCCATGCCAAACTCTCTTAAATCATTTATATGGTATTAATTTTCTTTTAATATGCATTTGCCAATATCTGTAATCAAGGACAATCAACCTTGGATTAGCTACTGATACATTTTTCTTAATCCAAAAGCATTGCCTTGTGATTTTCTTTTACAATGGCATTATAGTTGAGTTTTTTTTTTTAATTTTGTTTTGAATTATTTTGCTAGATATGCGTCGGACTAACCCCCTTATCACTCTTTCTTTGCATGTGAAATCTGCCCCGAGTCCATTTTGGATCTCATTTCCTATCCTTGCATCTCCTCGTTGGTCCAAAGGCCCAACCTTACCCCTTATCGGGTCAGCCAAAGCAATAGAACGGAAATACAGGGCTGGAAACCCAGATACAGGCTTCCAGAAGTCCTAAGATGGACAATATACGTTCAATATACGCTATATAC